CCCCACAGAATCCTGGGACATCTTTTTCTACCTCCTGACCTAGGCTCCTGACCCCATGTCCTGTCTCTTTGAGAAAGCCTCGTCTCTATTGGAATCCTGTCTCCATCTTTAAAGACTGTTTAGAACTGTGAAGATCCTACTCTGCTTGCAAGCTGGTTAGTCAGCCCAACACAGGTTCATGAATGCTGGCAGAAGATATGAGATTTCTGGGTCAGAGACAGAAGCCATTATCATTCACAGTACATGAGGCAGAATGCACTCCATGTTCATGTCAATTTCCCTTGCCCTCCAACCCCCGTAGGTGATGCAGAAGCAGGGATGGGGGGATACTGTGCACATAGTAGATTTGTATCACTGCTCAGAACCCCAGCCCCCAACATGGTCAAGTCAGTTGAAAATATAATTACTAAATGTGTTATGGGCTTCCCTGGTGGCTCAGATGGTAAAGAATCTTCCTGCAATGCAGGAGACCATGGTTTGATCCCTGAGTCAGGAAGATCCCCTGGAGAAAGGAATGGTTACCCACTCTAGTATTCTTGCCTGGAGAACTTCATGGACAGAGGAGCCTAGTGGGCTGCAGTTCATGTAGTTGCAAAGAGTCAGACACAGTTGATTAACTAACACACATACACACACAAATGTGTTATACACCTATGATTTATCCTAAAATACATGTGAAGCAAAAATTGACAGACTCAAAAGAGAAATAGACACATCTAAAATCAAACTTGGAAATTTTTAATAGAATTCTCTTGATAAATGATAGAATTAATATTCAAAAAAAATCAGTAGGGATTAGATGAAGATAAATAAAGAACTTAACCCAATTTACATACATACCACATGGCACCTACCAATTGCAGAATAAATATATATTCTTTTCAAGTAAGAAATTTTCCAAACTGACCATATGGTGGGCCATAAACATTGTATCAATAAATTTCAAAGAATTTTAAATCATTCAGACACAATAAATATCTGACCTTACCATACAATGAAATATCCCTCTTTACCTTACACCTTAATAATGTTTACTTCATCCAGTATCAAACTTTACCAGCTTTACTTTTGCTTGTTTTTGAATGATATATCTTTTTCAGTCTACTTACTGTCAAATTTCTGTATCATCATATTTATAGTTTCTTTTATAAACAGGCTTTAGTTGGTTTTGAAAGCAGGCTGATGGTGTATATTTTTTATAGTGTCTTTAATTGAAGTGGGGCTTCCCTGGTGGCTCAGTGATAAAGAATCTATCTGCCAATGCAGGAGACACAGGTTCGATCCCTGGGTTGGGAAGGTCCCCTGGAGAAGGAAATGGCAACCCAGTCCCATATTCTTGCCTGGGAAATCCCTTGGAGAGAGGAGCCTGGCGGGCTACAGTCCATAGAGTCTCAAAAAATCAGACATAACTTAGCGACTAAACAGCAGCAACAACAGCAAATTTAATTGGAATATTTAGTCCAATCACTTTTAATATAAATGCTCTTTGGTTTAAATCTGTTATCTTGGTGTTTGTTTTTTATTGTTATTTTTTTTCTTTCATACTATTTTGAATTATTTAAGGATATTTATCATTTTGTTTTCCCTTCTAATATCTTGTTAGTTATACATTTCTTATCATTCTTTTTGTGGCTACCCTGTAATTTACAACATGCATTTTTGAGCTATTAGAATTTATCTTAAGTTAGCACTTTTACCTCTTTCTGCTGTCCTGTGTTTTTAGTTCTACATATAATTTAACTCAAAAAAACCATTACTAGTATTGCTTTGAACAGCCAATATTTACCAATATATGCATTGCCCTTTTTGTGTGTGTGTGTGTGTGTGTGTATGTGTACCCTCCTTCCATCAGTCATTTTCCTTCTGTCTGGAGATCTGTCTTTAGTATTCCTTACTGTAGATCTGATGGTGATAAATTGTTTCTTTCTATTTATCTGAGGTATAGAATTCTAAGTTGGTAATAATTGTCTTTCTTCAAAACACCTTGCATAGATTATGAAATTGCATTTAATCTTTGCATCAATTTAGAGAGAATTCACATCTTTACTGTGTTGAGAGTCTTCCAATTTGTGAATATAGTATGTATCTCCAATTGTTTAGATCTTCCTTGATTTCTTTTATCAGCGTTTTCTAGTTTTCAGCATACAAGTACTGAAGATATATCTTTCCTCGCTTCTTGAATTCATACATTTATAGGTTTTGTCTGTTTGTTTTTTGCTTGTTTGTTTAACAACATCTGGGAAATTTTCAGTAATTATTTCTTTGGATACTTTTTTCAGCTTTACCTATTTCTTCTCTCCTATGGGACTCTGATCACATGATCTTCTTTAGTTTATTTTCTGTCTATTTTTCAGATTCTTTAATTTCTATGTTATACCTGGTCATTCACAGATTCTTTCTTCTCTTCATTCTGCTGTTAAACACATCCATTGAGGTTTTTTTACCAGTTGTTGCATTATTTTAGTTCAAAAATCTTCATTTGGTTTTTCTTTGTATCTTCTTTTTTATTGTTGTTGAATCTTATTTTTTTTTTGACTGACATCTATTTTTTTCCATTTGTTTCAAGCCTATTTTAATTGTTGAAGCATTTTCATGATGGCTGCTTTAAAATTTCTGTCAGATAATTCTAACATCTGTATCATCTATGTTGGTGTTGGTTAGTTGTCTTTCCTTTTTCCATTTGAGGTCTTCCTGGTTCTTGGTGCAAATAGTTTTTAACTAAAAATTTTATATTTGGGGTATTAAGTTATAGGACTCTGAATCTTATTTAAATCTTATGTTTTAGCAGACTTTCTCTGATACCATTCCATTAGGTACAATGCACCACTGATTGATAATCACCAGATAGGAGTGGACATACAGGTTTTTAATTTAATTGGAGTAAGATTGCTTTACAATCTTGTGTTGGTTTTTGCTATACAGCAATACAAATCAACCATAATTTTATATATATATGTGTGTGTGTGTGTGTGTGTGTATATATCCCTTCCCTCTGAAGCTTACCACCTACACCCTCATCTTATACCTCTATGTTGTCACAGAATATTAGACTGGGCTCCCTATGTTATATAGTAGCTTCCCACTAGCCATCTATTTTACATATGGTAGTGTTCTTCAGTCCCATTTTTGTAGAGTTCATATATATGCATTAATATGCGATGTTTGTGCTGCATGTACAGGTTTTCCAAGCTGCCTCTGCTGACAGCTAATGTGGAATGAACTCCTTGGTACTGTTTGGCAGTGGTGGGGGACCTCTTCACTGTCCAATGGGGGTGGAAGTCCAGGCTCCCCATGTGTTCTCAATTGGGGTGGGGGCGGTAGGGGTGGAATCCTCATTACCATGCAGCAGTGTTGAAGCCCTGACTCCGCACCACCTGGCAGAGGGGGAGGGTGGAGAGTGACTCCGCAGCCTGGCAAGGGTGAAGTCTCAGCTCCCCATTCTGCTGGCTGAGTGGTAGGAGGGCTGCAGTCTGTTCTGCAGATACAGCTGCAATAGAGTGGCTATTTCTAAGCTGCGGTTGTCTGGCTCAACTAACCCTCTCCTGGTATTCTGTCTAGAGAGAGCATGATTTTTTTTTTTTATGATTTCCATTATTTCCAGACTGTCACCTTCTCTAGCATCTAATCTGGGGTTTGTGAGCCAAAGAGGAAGCCAGGGCATTTACCACCAGGTTGAGCTCAGGTCTTGAGTTTCTTAACCAGTCTGCCTTCTCTCCACCTTTTGGTCTGCCCATACTGTTTTATACATAATGTCCAAGGGTTTTAGTTGTACTTAGTAGAAACAGTAGGAAGAGAAGGTGTCTACTCTGTTTTCCTGGAAGCAAAAGTCTAAAGATGTATTAATGAAATTTAATATAATTCTACCAAAATACCTACAATGGTTTTGATGTATAAAATTAAATGTAGTCAGAGAGAAAAAGACAAATATCATGTGATATCACTGATGTGTGGAATCTAAAAAAAAATGATAGTGAGTGAGTGAAATTGCTCAGTCGTGTCTGACTCTTTGTGACCCCATGGACTGTAGCTGACTAGGCTCCTCCGTCCATGGGATTTTCCAGGCAAGAATACTGGAGTGGGTTGCCATTTCCTTCTCAAAAAAAAAAAAAATGATACAAAGAACTTATTTACAAAACAGAAATAGGCCTATAGACACAGAAAAAATAAATTTATAGTTACCAAAGGGGAAAGAGGGGGGTAAATTAGGAGTTTGGGACGAACAAATACACATTACTATATGTAAAATAGATAATTAATAAAGACCCACTGTATAACAGAGGAAAATATATTCAATATCTTGTAATAACCTATAATGGAAAATAATCTGAAAAACAATAGGTATATATGTATAACTGAACCACCTTGCTGTATACCAGGAGCATTGTACATCAACTATACATCAATTTAAAAAATTAAATTTAAACCATACTCTCAAAGGTATGTATGCATCAACAAAGAAAGGCTTTTTAAATAACTTTTGGGAAGAGAAATTGTGTTCAAGGAAATTGCAGAAAAATTTTATATTTTGTGTAAAATATGTTCCCAGATTCAAGGAGAGAAGGCTTTAATCTTGAATTTCTTGCTAACTGATGGAAAGATTTGGCTATTTTTTATCTTAAAAGAAAAAATATCTATATTTTATCTGAGCATCAGTAGCCATCACGCTGGTGGCTCAGGGGTAAAAAATCCACCTGCCAGAGCAGGAGCCGCAGTAGACTCGGATTCGATCCCTGGGTCAGGAAGATCATCTGAAGGAGGAAATGGCAACCCACTCCAGTATTCTTCCCTGGAAAATCCCATGGACAGAGAAGCCAACAGGCTACAGTCCATGGGGTTGCAAAATTGAACACGACTGACCGACTGAGCACACACAGCCATAACCCTCCACCTTACCACTGAAGTTCTCTAGAATCCTCTAGAAAATCATCCATTGATATTAGAGCTTACTTAGCAAACATCCATGTTTGTCCTGGGATTCTAAACATGAGCTTCTCTTCCAGGTCGCCTGAATTGGTGGTCCACCGTGTGCACGAGCTGTAAACGGCTTCTTCCTTTGGCCACGACAGGGGACGGGAACTGCCTTTTACATGCTGCCTCACTGGGTAAGCCCTGCAGTATAGACAGAGGGTGGCAGTGCCCAGGCCTGCTCTGTGCATCCTTAGAGGACAATCTTATACTAAGTAGAGCCACGTGCATCACTGTCAACTGAAGAGATCCCCAAGGGATGGAGGCAACAACCCCCACCCTTCTTGTCAAGCAGCTGGCAGGCTTGGTGGGGGCATAGAGCACACATGAATGAGAAAAGATCTGTCCTGATAGAAGGAGGCCTGAGCAGACCTGCGCGGATGGGCAGCAGACATCGGGGTCTTGAGCAATCAAAGAGGACTTCCTGAAGGAGCTGAGATTTTCCTGAGGCTTGAAGAACTTGAAAAAGTATAAATAGGACCTTCCAGGCAGGGAGAACACACGGATAAAGTGGAAAGGCAGGAATTAACAGGGTGTTTGGGATCAGGGCTGAGCCCTGTTGAGCTTGAGCAGAAAGTCTGCGGGGGGAGGAGGGGGGCGGGGGCAGTGCGTGAGGCTGGGTAGATCTGGAGCCACCACACTGACTGCAGCTGATACACTTAGACTGACAAAAAGACAGACATGGGTAAGAAATATGGAGATCAGCACAGTCAGAATATACTGCAGAGAGGTCAGCAAACTCTTCCAACAGAGATGTGACCTTTCTGGTTGCAAAAAGTGACACCAGCAAATGCATAGGTGTGGGTGGCAATGTTTGGATGACAGAAGGTAAAAGTACACTTTGTGGAAGATCATGTAACCCCTCTGGACCCAGGCTTACATAAACATGCAGGACTGGATTTGTGCCAAGGACCCCAGCATCAGAGCTGGTGGTGCCTTATTACTCCTGCAGTCTGAGGACCCTCTCCAGGGATGGGCCCCTCCAACAAGAATATGGTCCTTGTTGGTCAAACTCACCTCCCCAGGTAAACATGACCTTAACTCAGTGCCATGACCCAGAGCAAGGATGCCCCAGACCTCACTTCAGACCTGTAGTGAGAGGTCTGTTCTATAAGAGGTGGGCTGAGCTGAGCCCAAAAAGTTTTCGAGGGAAATGCAGGGCGTCTGGGACGGGCCCCGAGATACCCAGAGGAGGATGGAGCCCAAGTGCAAAGGAAACATTCCATGTTTTTTAGGCTTGACAAAGGGTGATAGGGAAAACAAGGGCACCCACCCACCTGCCCCCTTTCTGTTTCAATATTAATTCATTCCTGTCTGTTGACTCCCCATTCAGCATAGTAAAATAACAATCAACAATTCCACTGCCCAGCGATGTCTGCTTTTAATATTTTGGTATATTGTCTTCCACACTTTTGTTTATACTTCCAGTGAAATTAGGATCTCACAGTGTTCACAGTTTGGAATCCAATATTTTCCCCTTAAAATTGTAAATTGAATTTTTCACGCTATTCTTCAAAAACACGTTTTGCAAGTTGTGTCTTATTCCATCGTAAAATATTCAGTATCCCTCTCTTATGGAACTTATTTCACCTTGTTCTGTATCAAACCTAGAGAAAAATTACAAAAGAAGACATCTCTCCTCTTTGCAAAGTCTCAACCACAGGAATGCCTTTGTCCTTCTGACACTCAATGTACACAGGCACTGCCCCATCATGACCATAGGTGGACAAGGCCACAAGCCAAACGGTCACACGCCACCGTGGTCCTGACTGATGGCGGGTGTTTCACGGTGAGCACAGTAGGCCCCTCAGTTCTGCCTGGGAGGAGAAAGCCTCCTGCAAGTGGCCCTTTATCTGTGAGAGAGGCTGGGCTGAGACTGAACCTGGGACTCATAGCCAGTTGATTCTTTTCTCCCACTACTTTGTTTCCCCTTGGTACTCAAATTGTTAAACTATTTACAAGCAAGTCTGCTCAAAGTGGCCATTCGACACTCACCAGCTGTGCTTACCGGACCTGCTGGCCAGCCCTAGCATTGACCTAGGGTGTGGGCACATGTAGAAATGACAGTAATCCTGGGGTCAGGCTTGTGGGCAAACGTGTGTGCGACAAGGAGATTCTCTCTGCACAAGAGACCCAGACAAGGAGCCATGATGAGTACACTGACCCAGGACTTGCCCTGCCTGGGAGGAGGCTGCAGGCTGGTCAGAGGGATGAGAAAGCTCAGCTCGGCCTGTTCATAAAAGGAGAATTGATGGCCATCTCCCACCGTCTGTAGAAAAAGACTACCGGAAAGCCCACGGCAGCCCCCTGTTATCACGTCTTTGCACAAAAGGATGCACAGCCAGCCTGAGCCTTTGATCATCAGTCAGTGAGGGTCGCTGCTCTCTGAAAGCTCTCTAGAGGGTCCCAGCTCACTCCAAAGCCCACCTTTCCACTCTCCACCTCACCCCTTCTATCCCAACTGCAGACACCTTCCCCTCCCTAGGACGCCACGTGGGCCCCCTCGGGGTTGGCCCTGACCTTTTCCTCCACCTGGGATGGTGACTCAACCCTGTCCCTCACAGCTCATGTCTTTGCCCCAGTGTCTCCACTCACGCTGTGACCAAACCACCCGGCACTCTGTCCTCTTAGCCTGCTTCATCTCCCCTTACATTGCCCCTGCCTGCAACAAAGTATGTCACATGTTAATTCGATGGCTGCCTCCCCTCCCTTCCCTTCAGTGTGGACTCCATGAGATTTTAGGAATTTCGTCTGTCCTAGTTGCTTCTGTGGGTACTCCCATCACTTAGAATGGTGTGCCTCACCCCTACTGTGAAATAAGTATGGAATTAATAGTATTCAGTTAAACAAATGAATTTATGAATGAATGTATGAATTTCCCTAGTCTCTCCCTATAGCCAGAGCTGCATCTCTCATGGCGCTTCTTCCACTGACTGGGTTTCTTGGCCACTTCTGAGCTTCCACAAGGATGTAGTCAGAGGTGCTGGTTTGTCTTATGATACCTGGGCCAGGTGAGGCACTTCCCTCAGAAGCAAGTGCTCTCCCAGGGCCCAGATGTATGCAGAGATGCCTCAGGGCTACAGACATTGGATGCAGCAGACCCTTGATGAAACTGGGGTCTGACTGCCGTCCTGGCTTGGGGCCCTGCATGAGGACACATAATCCGCTGTCCCCACAGGCTCTCTCCCACTCAAACACAAGGTCAGAACCACAAATATTACATCCCTCAGAACAAAACTTGAGAGGTTGAGGGCAGCCTGCAAAGGGCCCCGAGACTTAGTGAAATGGCTCTTGTTGTAAGAAGGGGCTGTGCTCCTTCATTCAGCGCCTGCATCAGCAGGAAGCATCAGGAGGGAGGGCAGAAGACAGATGCTTGCTAATTGTGAGAACTGAATATCTGTCACTACGGCATTATCTGCTCTCTCAGCTATGGGGGCCAGACTGGTAGGTGGTGGCAGTCTCAACTCCTCCTGTTTTGCCCCTTCCTCACATATTTTCTTGTGGCTCAGATGGTAAAGAATCTACCTGCAGTTCAGGGGACCTGAGTTTGACCCTGGGGTCAGGAAGATCCCCTGGAGAATTCTTCTTGCCTGGAGAATTCCATGGACAGAGGAGCCTGGCGGGTTACAGTCCATGGGGTCTCAAAGAGTCGGAAACGACTGAGCAACTAACACGCTCACTTTACTTTCACATCTTCCCTCTCTCCCCTACTCCTCACGGGCCTCCTGCCTGCAGGAATGTGGGGGTTTCACGACCGGGACCTGGTTTTACGGAAAGCTCTCTACACCATGATGAGGACGGGGGCCGAGAGGGAGGCCCTGAAGCGAAGGTGGAGGTGGCAGCAGACACAGCAGAACAAGGAGGTGGGTACCTGTCAGCATGGCAGAGCTGGGACGGTGCTGGGCGCAGCCAAGGCCAAGATGGGGTCCTATTTGGGGCCCTAATATCAAGTCTGTCTTATGAGATGAGGCAGCAATGGCTCCATTCCCTACTCAAACCCACTAAAGAGGAACCCATTCCAACAGTCAGCCCCTGCCCACAGCGACCAGACATCCACTCCCCTCACCTGTCCTGGCATAACTATGAAGACCACCTACCCTCACGCACAAGGCTGTCCCAACCTGAAGGGTGAGTTAGATAGTCACCTGTGAGTCACTGCTGGTGTGGCCGCTGATTGGCCCTGGCGTGGCCCCAGCCCAGGGTGTGTGCTCAGTCCAAAGAGAATGCTTATCCCAGAACCTTAGTGAGCACTGGCCCTTTGCTGGCGTGGAAGCCCTTGAAGATGGGTCTGCCCAGGTCCCTGCACACATGTCAATGGTCGGCACCCAGTCCAGTACATGTGCAGGTCGCTTTCAGTCGCTCTAGCCCCTGAGAATGACCACTGTTGCTGAGTGGACTTCCGACAGCATTGAGGTTGGAGATTGGGGGTTCTGAACAAATTCTGTCCAGAGCAAATGCTGACGGTCCTTGGCCACTAACAGGTGCCCACCCCAGGGGCTGACCAAGTCAGGAAGTCGGGCTCTCAGCCAGACTGATGTGGGTGCAAGTGTGAAGAGGTGGACACCACCTCCTAACCCCACCCCACTTTGTGCCAGTCAGGGCTGGTGTACACGGAGGAGGAGTGGGAGCGGGAATGGACGGAGCTGCTGAAGCTGGCCTCCAGCGAGCCACGCACACACTTCAGCAAGAATGGCGGCTCGGGTGGGGGGTAAGTGCTGCCCCAGCCCTCCCCCTGATGGCTTGGGAAGTGATGGGGGGGGAGGTGTGGGACCCCCAAGCTGGGGACAACACAAGGAGGACTCCTGCCTTAAGATCTTAGATTCTACCAAGGGTGCAGGGCAGGTGGTAGGGGATGACAGGACCCTGCCGGATGTTTGGAAGAAAGTGTACACAGTCACCATGTGCATCTCATGAACTCAAGCATGCCCCCTGCATTGCAGAGAGGGACTCGCTGTCCAGCCAGCCTGGGGAGGGCCCAAGCTGCCCACGCACTCACCAGGCTCTGAAGCTTCAGGCTGCTGCTGGAATCCTAGCCACTAGACTACCAGGCAACGGTGGTGGTCTTTTAAAGTAACCTCTATGAAACTTGGGCCAGCAGGGTTCCAGAGCAGGTAAGCATCATGCTGGAGCCTGGCCCCGTGGTGAGTGACATGTACAGCACCACTCCTGCCCAGGCCCTGGCCCTCCAGCCCCAGGACAGATGGGAACAGACCCTGCACTGATGCTCCCAGCATGGACACTGGCCCTGCAGTTTTTCCCAGAAAGAACCAGATGAAGCACCTGAAGAGGTCGGAAGGGAGCAAGGGTCAGACTCAAGGATGCACTTGACCAACTTCCTACCTTCTTCCCGCAAGATTCACAGTACCCAATTCCAAGGCTCACTGGCAGAGTCCCAGCAGGAGACCCTGGATGCAGGGAGACATGTCCACAACTCACTCAGAGAGAAGGATGGAGACCAGGTTGGGATCCAGGCAAGGCGAACCACCAGCCAGAGAGCCATCATGGATAGGCTGTTTAGAACTGGTGACCACAGGGAGGACCCTCTCCGAGACCCCAGGAAGGCAAGACCAGCATGAGCTCTCTACCGAGTTCAGATGCGTGAGAAAGACTGAATGGCAACTGTACCAGTAGTTATAGATGCAGCGAGAACTGTGAGCGCCAAGGCCAGGCAGAGGTGGGGGTCTCCGTACAGGCACACTCAGAGCTACAGAAGCCATTCTTATTCATCCTCCTGCTCGCAAATCACAACATGTCTGTTTCTTGTGGCTAAAGCAAGAGAAATCAGACATTCTGTGCTACTTACTGTACCTCCAGAGACTTGTGAAGTGCTACCTCCTGTGAAGTGCTACCTCCAAAAGGGCTGCTGCTGGGGTTTGCAGTCCCCTCCAGCAAAGGTGAACTCAGCTTGCCCATCACCAGAGCTGCTAGTGGGGCCATGGGTAAGAGGGCTGGTCCCCAGAAGGAAAAGGAAGACATGGAAGAGAGAGGAAAATAACTCCACCCCAAGTCATGCGGGTCTGCATTGGAAACCAGTGTTGGAGTGAAGTTGCCCATCACCACCTGGCACATGCAGCCCCGACGCCCGCTACAGACACTCTGGGGGAAGAGGGTGTGTGTGGAATGGAGGAATCCATTACTTGTTATAAAACTGGTAAAATCTGTGAAAGCAGTTAGTGACAGCCTCTGGGTGCTTCATCTGGTTTAATGGCAACTGAGAACTAAGAAAGGAGTCTTCCTGGTGGACCCCACCCAGATGCCCAGACTCAGATGTCACAGATTAAGAGTCCCAGACTGGGTGCGTGATCTTGGGCATGTCTCCCAAGCTCCTGGAGCATCTTTGTTGTTCAGATGTAGAATGCATTTTGGTAGTAAGGTCCCTGCTGGGCTATATCAGTTTTTCGTGGTGGTGGAGTAAACCACACCAAAACTGGGTGGCTTAATACAGAGACACTGGATTTGTTCCTATTCTGGGGTCAGCATTCTGGTCTGGAATTTTCCGGAGCCTCTCCTGGGGCTACAGCATCTGGCAGTTAGTCTGAGTGGCTCAGGACCATCCAAGATGGCCTGATTCACAACTCTGGCTCTTGCTGAGCCTCTGTCCAGATTTCATCCTTGAGAAGGCTCAGGCCCCTTACAGTATGGATCAGGGCAGGAAGAGGGGGCAGCCCCCATTGTGGAGGTTCAGCTCAAGCCTCTGCTTGCATCACCTTTACTAATGTCCCATGGAAACATTGGCCAAAGCAAGTCCCATGGCTGAGCCAGCCTCTGGGCAGATAGACTCCATCCTTAATAAAAGGAGGGGCAAAGTCACATTGCAAAGGGACAAATACACAGAAGAAGGCTCTGTGGCCATCAGAGCAGTTGGCCACATTCTCTGATTCTGTTGGCACTGTTCAGTGAAATCATGGGTTTGAAAGTGGAAAGAAGATTTTATGACTATAGACATAATGTTTATTAAGACATTGTCACACGCAGCCTGTGAGTTGGCATGCCTGCTGCCTATATGGTATATCATAAAGGCCTATCCCAAATACCTGAAATGTATGGTTTCCCTGACTTTCCATGGTTCTCTCACTGTCCATAGTGTAGTGGTTATGACACTCACACTGGCTCATCTGAGTGTCTAATATTATTCCTGTGAGTCTTGAAAACGCTGGAGCCTTAGGGGCTTTCAGGAGTCTCTGAATGTAGAGCAAATCCCTTCCATGAGTTTATATGTCCCATGAGTCTATATATACTCTGACCTCCCGACCCTAGACCTATAGAAATGGAACATAAAAATAGCTTATTGAATTGTGCTAGGCAGTGAGGATTGGAGAAAGGAAGCCATGAACCTCTGCTGGGCACCTACCCGCCTTGCATACTGCCTAAATGCCACCGCCTTACACACTTTATCTGCACCTTATAAATTAGGCATCACCCTCCTTTATATGTTAGAGAACTAATGTTCTCAGAGATTAATTGACTTACGTCTGGTTTGTAACTGGTGGAGCTAGGATGCAGACCGAGACCTGTCTGAGTCCAGCACCCTACAGTTTGCCAGAGAATACACTATGATAAGTTTTATAGCTTCTTAAGAAAAAGTGCACTGCAGATAGAATTTTTTGAGTCCTTGCATATCTGAATTTTTTTTTTATTCTGTCTCACCCTTGTTGGATAGTTTGGGTATAAATTCTCTTTAAATTCATGATATGAATGATGTCATGAAAGGTGTTAAATCACACAGAAAGCTATCAACTTCCTGGCACTCAGTCAAAGTTGGCTAATTTGAAGTAAAACAATTATATGAAATCCAAAGACTAAATATGTTCAACAAACTTCTTACTCCACCTTTACAGACTCTGAAAAAGATTTATTCATTAGCTCAACATGTATTAATTGCCTGAGGCATGCTGTGCATTTTCAAACACACTATCTCATTCTGTCATCACTGTAACCCTGTGAGATAAAGGTTATAATTCTTATTTAAAGTATGAGGAAATTTGGATTCAGGATAAAAATTATTTGCCCAAGGTAATCACCTGAGTGGAAGAGCGGTAGTTCAAATTCAGGTGTCCTGCCTCCCAGGTCTCCTGGTCCCTGATTTTCCTCCTACCCCTTAGCTCAAAAGCCTCTTTCTGTTCTTATAGAGAATTGGGTTCTTGCTCTTTTCTGTGGGTGATAGAATGAGGCCTCTTTGTTTTCTAGTCCAATTCCAGGGTTTGTGTCAAGGGAGTATCATTTCAGATCTCAGCCTTTGTTAACAGACTAATAAACCTTTGCCATCAGGTGTCTTTCTGCATGAATGTACAGAAAAGTATTTTCCAACTCAGTCTCCCAGGGTCTCCCTTTTCCTCCTCTGCCAAATACTGAAAACCTTTGTAAGCATTAGTTCTATGATAATTAATGAGAGGAATTACTTTAAATTTTCAAGCAATCTTCAACAACCACTATGCTCTTTGGAGGCAGGGAATAAACCAGGACCCTCTCAGTTTGAAGAATACCATGTAAACCCCATTAGGGAAATGAAAATTAAAACTACTGCATGCCTATAAGAAAGTCAGAAAAAATATATATACTGGCAATACCAGATGCTGGTGAGAGGGCAAAGCAAATTTTACATCACATTGTTGGTGATATGAAAATGACACAACCACTCTGGAATACAATTTGACAGATTCTTATAAATTTAAAAACACATTTGCCATATGACCCAGCCGTCCTATTCCTAACTATTTACCCTAGACCACTGGTTCTCAACCAGGAATGATTTTGCCCCCCAGGGGACATTTGGCTAAATTGTCACAACTGGAATGTAGTCTGAATACTGCTAGAATCTAATGGGTAGAAGCCAGGGATGCTGCTAAGCCTTCTAAAGTGCACCGAACAGCCCCCCAAACAAAGAGATAGCTAGTCCAAATTTTCAGTAGTGTCAAGATTGAGAAAATCTGCCCCAAAGAAATGAAAATGTGTGTTCACACAAAGTTCTATGTAAAATGTTTATAGAGGTTCCATTCATAATTGCCCCAAACTGGAAACAACTCAAATGTCCTTTGATTAAAAAAAAATTGGAGTACATCAATATTATGAAATACTATTCAGGAATTAAAAACAAACTACTGATGTATGCAATGACTTGCATGAAAGGATCAGGTCTCAAAAAGGTATTGTATTGTATGTATGGTTTCATTTATATGACATTATCCAAAAGGCAAAACTATAATGATGGAGAACAGATCAGGGTTTCATTTATTTAGAATGAATGTCTGACTTTCCAATATCATTTCTTGAAAAGACTATTCTTTCATCATTGAATTGCTTTTATGTTTTTCAGATACCTATAGGCAGCAGCATAGGCAATATTTATGTGGGTTTGGGAGATTTATGTTGGGTGGGAGATTCTGTATTATGTTGCATTGAAATATGCGCCTGTCCTTTTGACAGTGTCACTTTATAATAAGTCTTAAAATTAGGTAGCATCACTCCTCCAACTTTATTCTCCTTTTTCAATATTTCTGGTCTTTTTTTTTTTTTTTTTTTCATNTTTTTGCTTTCCCATACAGATTTATAGAATCGGCTTATCTATATCTGAAAAATATTCTGCCAGAATTTTTATTGGTATTACATGAAGTCTATACATCAATTGGAGGATTGAAATTTTTAAAATGTTGAGTGTACTTACACACCTTTTCCCATGTATTAGGTAGACACAGTATGCTTCTTCACATA